GGCGGCAGTAGGATAACAGGGTAAAGAGTAGATAGATAGGCGAGGATAGAAAGAGGAATGATAGTGTATGCGAAGAAAAGTTGGGTTTCGAGGACTCTCTTGCTTCATAATTCTTGAATCGTTAGCTTGAATTTTGTCAGTGATAGCGTAACCGTTTTCTTAAGAACGCTTGTCGAGGGATGGACTTGTCTCTGGCGCGTTCGTAGCTTGGTGTGAAGAATAGCAAAACTCATTGATGATGTCGGCGAAACATTTGAGAATGTAACAAGTTCACTGTCTGATGCTGGGAATCATGACAACTAATAGGAGAGACGACTGCATTAGGTGCGTTCTACTAATTTACCCTGACAACAAAACCAATTTGCGATGAGGTCAACTCACTTCTATAACTCTATAACATTTTTATAGAAAGAAAAGTTGGGTTTAGAGCAATCTTTTGATTCATAATTGTTGAGCTTACTTCCATTTCGATTGAAAGTGTTTGATGAAGAGATTCGAATGTCGATCCTATCAAGGGCTACGGCAGATTCCTCTTAACCAGCTGTCGATTGGCCTTAATGGATCATTCTTGTTGAGGCAACCTCTTTCGATTTCGGCAAAGAAGAGATAATCTTTCACTCATCGCATGACAGACCTTAGGGCATGTTATTACCCCCCCCAACCATATCCAAGCTGACGAGTCAAGAAAACCCAACGGATACTCATCTAGTCTCTTATCATATTTTTATCTTGGTTCTAATCACTTCTACTTTTCTGTACTGTTTGTTTCACTACTTCTCTATCACACGAATAAAAAGTGCTCGTTAACCAGGAGTGTGTCCGAGTGCACAATCGGAGTGATATAGAGAGGGAGGAAATAGAAGGAGCGATGGTGGTCATTAAACTTTAAGGACTGGTAACAGCGGTTACTTTTTCTCTTCCAATTATCTGAGCTATCACTTGGCTCCTTAAATATAGGAGCATATGAAGTCACATAAATATGCACAGACAGACAATCAAATGCCTCTGGATTGACATATGATTTGAACTAACCAAATCTCTTTATACCTTTCAAGTAGCTTAGCTATAGACCATATATACACTTTTTAAGGATAAGCAGGTGATCTCTCTTGACTTGTCAGCTTGAATATGGTCGTGAGGTAATATCCTGCTTTGGTGGTGTCAATCAGGACGGACGAAAGCTTAGCACGTCTTCAATGAAGTTGAAGGAGAATTCATCGGGAGCAGCGTCAGCAAAAATTCCCCAGTAAAGCCAATCGCTAGCTGGTTAAGGGGAATCCGCTGTCGCCTTCTGGTGGGATTGAACTTCGAATCTCTTTATCAAACACTTTCACTTGAAGTATAATTAAGCTCAACAATTATGAGCATAACGACCAGTCGAGGGTAGTTCTGAGGCTACTTCAAATGCCATTTGCTTCGATTGGTTCGCACATACCCCACTCAACAAGTGTGCTTAAATGTTGAAACTCGAATGTCAGATGGTAAGCTGATTATGTCTATTATCAGAAATGGAACAATGATTTTCGGTGTGTGGTCGATTAGACTTTAATTGATTTTAATGAGTGAACCGGTTTAGGGAATTAAGGAGTCTGGTTATGTGGTTGCGAATGTAGAGGATGAAACATTGTCTGTTCGTTACCATTAGATTTCATTAGACATAGCTTGTGGTGGCTCAAATGAAATGGAGACTTAATTAGGTCTTGAATTTGGGCTTATTGGTGTTTTTATGGCATCCACAATTTCGCTCCAACGATAGTTTTTGTCGGTGGTATTCGTTTTCTGGATACGATAACATAAAAGCAGCAGTGTCTTTACTGCCACTAAGTTAGAGCTCACTCGTAGAATCACTCATACATCTATGAACGACACACAAACCAGCTAAATAAAGGCAAATCTCTGCACATGTGCGAGTGACTTTGCAGAAAGATGGATAACATGGGTTATAGTGCTACTGTTATTCGCGCCAGAGGCAATGTCTCAAGTAATCATTGCGGTCCTGGTGATGGTGATGTGTGCGCGAATTCACTATACGCAAAGAGTGTGTATGTTGTAAAACCGATTTAAATGGAATCAGACCCTATATTCACCTAATCATGCCTGGTTCAGCCACCAGGCCTGGGAGTCCTGACCAAATTCGCGCTAAACAACATAAAGCACCTGATGTGGCGCCCCTGTTTGTCATTGGGTAAAGGTGTACTGTTGCATGCTACTGCAGCCAACAGGGTCCTAGACAATTAGCGAATCTGAGGGCACATCAAGTCGTACTCGCGGATGAAGGGCCTTCAGAGGAACTTTCCTATTTGATGCGGATGCATGATTATTACTACTATGCCTAATAATAGGGATTATTGTTACTAGTATTGGATTTATTTATATATTTTTTGTTATTTTTACACTACTAATATCACTACTACCATCATACTGTTGGTAGTAGTAATAATAGTAGTATGACTTTTATTATTATTATTAGCGGTACATGGTTGTTATGGTATTTAAAAAAGAAGGCTAACTGGATTTCGAAATTACATAATTGCGCACACTCCCACTCCGTACGGGAATCATTGATGAACGGGCTCGTAGGTTGATTTTGGAAGACGGGGGATTTCTGTTGCTCTGTCATTTGTGGCTTGTATTAGGTTCAGATCGACGCTGTCCACAAGATAGGCTCCTTTAATTCCTGATTAAAAAGGCAGAACTTTCGTATGTTGCGTGATATTTATGAAAAATGTCAAGCCAAAATTTAATAAAGAAGGCCAACCGGTTCTCACTTGAGCACTGTCTTATTCTCAACAACAATAGAAATCAAATGAATATACGGACGCAGAATGACTTGGTTATTAAAATTTAAAAGCAGAGGCTTTCTCATATGTTCTGATTTTGCTTTCGTGTCTAGTATCTCAAATGGCATGGGAGTTGGTTAGCAGGTTAGAAATGAAAACGGTTTTCCAGGAAACCAGGACATTTTTTTTCAGTTATGCCTACTTTTGGAGGTAAATGTGACCCGATATTTAGATAACTCTGCTATAAAATATTGCGTTTCTATATTCGCCTTTAAGTTGGATAGCTTGTCGCCCTATTTTACAAAGTCAAACTAGACGCACAAATGTTTAGAGAGCATTAGATTCAACAATCAGTGACAGCAGAACACGCGTATGAGACTGGGCTTAATATAAAATGCTCTCACAATAATCTTAGACATGAAGACTAAGATATTGTGGTCTCTGTTTTAGGCATAGGCTTATTTCGTTGTATGGAAGTGGTCTGATCTCGTTTTCGCAATTTGGCCTTGTCGTCAGGGCGAACTAGCTGAATTCACCCTGTCCAAAGTCCTCTGCTATCGGAGTTATGATAACTTCAAGTATCGGACGGTAGGAATGTACTAAATGCATGGTCAGACGTGGAACTTATAACTACTATATCAGAGGGCTTCGGACAGGCTGAGTTCAGCTAGCTCGCCCTGACAACAGAACCAAGTTGTGAAGCAAGGTCAGACCACTTCTGGACTCACCGTCTTTTTATTGATAATAGCACGCCCGTGATTGAGCGCAAAATTAGTTAGATTGCCAAAATAATCGGGTTAGGCGATAAATTAATTGCCAGTAATGCCGTTGGGGAGTTAAAAAGAATTTAATATGCTTAATTAATGAAATAAAGAAAAGTTAGATTCCAAATAATCGCTTAATTTGCGAGCACCGAGCATTTAGTGGGAAAGTAGTTGATGAAAAGATTCGTTGGTCATCCCATAAGAAAATTACGACGGCGTCAGCTGTTGTTTGACTTTACCGGTACCCTCTGGTTAATGCTATCCTCGAGACGCTGCCCATCATTTCCGGTTAAAACATGCTAAGCTTTCGTCAATCAAATGACGGACATCGTCACAGCAGAGCCATCATCTTCAAACAAATTCAAGCTAACAAGTCGCTCAAATTCATCCGCTTGTCATTAATTGCTTTATGTATATTATAAATTTAAATAAAGAAGGAAATTCAACCAGTCTTGCTTTACACCGCTCTACTTATCTTTTAGTTTGCTTTATCAATCAAGTGTGTGATGCTATAAAAAGAGGTTCATTAAAACTTTGTAGCAAAGGACAAGGGTTATTCTCATTTTTTCAATTGAAGCTATTACAAGTGGTCTCGTACCCTGACACACATGAATGCCTTATGCATACACACACACATTCGTCTAAAGTGGCATGCGACAATAACTAAAAAGACCACTCTATCTCGTAAAGATCCATTGGCGACGAGTAATGTGCATAAGTCGGTGATTTTTCTTGAGTCTAGTTTGAATTAGTTATGAGAACCATATTCTACTCTAAGGATTCCAATCGTATGACGGACGAAGGCCATTACCATGTTTCACCAGAATCGAAGTCTATTACCTGGGGGACAACGTCAACCAGATGGTTTCAATAAGGCCAGAGGACACCTGGCGTCAAGAGGAGTTCACCGTTTTTTCCAATGGGATCGACCCTTGATTCTCTTTAGCATACACTATTAATCGAAATTGGAATGTGCCCAGCACTTGCTAATTCTGTTGTTAAGGCACACATCTACCAAATACGATTATTTTTTGAGTAGAATGCCACCGAGGCACCTCTTCGGTTCCTTTTATGCTTTTGGTGGTTAAACTGCGAATTTAGATAAAATGCATCTTTAATGTTCCACTTTTTCTTCATTTACGATAATAATACCTTTTAGTAGGCAAAACTAAGTGGCATTCTGTGAAAAATCTCATAAATGAAATGAATGTGAGAAAATTCAGATATCCCTCCTCCCTCAACTTATAAGATCTTGGGGCACATATACTACTTATATTCACGTTAAGTAGGTACACTGGCTAGTTTTATTGCATGACTGAGCTACAGGCCTTCTCGACTAGACTCGTTTACTCTGAAGACAAACCAACATCGTGGCCTTGCCTTACTCGAGGGATTTTGACTCCATTTTTTTCCGACTCACCGCCGGCCTCTCACGTTCCCCCTTCGTCTGTCTGAACTACTCTCGACGGACACACCCTCCACTCAATGCCGCCTGCCCTAGCCAGACGGCCTCATGAGCTCGGCTCTCACAATCTCCACACCGAATTCCGGCTGACGCTGTGGCCCGTCGCTTTTTCTCCCGCTCCATTGTTTGTTTGGATTGTGCACCCGTCACGTCGCCGCCACCCACTTCGCCAAGTCGGCTGAAGTGGCTCTCCAATAGGTGCTGCACGCATTCACACACATACAGACACAGATACAAATGCAGGACTGGCTAAGGCCTAACCCTCAGTTCAACGGGGTCTACCACAGTCAAGTTGCTCCAAGAGCTAGATTCATTTTCTACTCCCTCAGGCGTCACGGCCCAGCCAATAGAATCTGTTCGTAGGTCGTGGTCTCTTTAGCTGGGCCAGGCCAACATGTCTGGCCTCAAGCACAGAACTAGGCCGAACAGTTAGGCCTTCAGTTAGGCACCAAGTCGACACCAACTCTGCATCAAGTCGGCACCAGCCCGCCATTAAAAAAAATGTCACACCAATTACACACGAAATCGACACCAACGCGGCGACTACTCGGTATCAATTTGACACCAATACGGCATCAAAACGGCTTTAACGCGGCACCAACTAGGCATCAAATTGGCACCTACTCAGTTTCAAATTGGGCCTGATTCGTCATTAAATTGGTACAAATTCTTCGCCAACTGAGCATGAAATATCGAAGGTATGAGGTCCAAGGTGGTGTATGCTCGGAGTGTCATTTCGTTGTACGGAAGTTGATTGGCATTGTTTTCCTAACTTGGTCATATTGGTGGTAAGATCTAGGGGAGTCCATAGCATGCATGCTAATTTTCAGAGTCGGTCCCTTGAAGTTGTACATTCTCACACGTTTCGTCGGCATCGTCGATGAGCCTTGCCAGTCTAGCCCCACACTACAACTCTTTAAAGAGACAAGTGGAGTCGATCCTTTGACCAAATGTGTGCTGAATAGTTGTGATATCTCTGCTTCTGCCCTGGGCTATTCACATATCCTATGTCTTCGTATCACTCATTCAATATCACAATTTCTTACTTGTTTATTTAAATGTGCTATGGTGTGTCCTTTTTAGTAGATTTAATAAGAACTCTCGAAAACCGCGTCTATCCTTTTTCTTTCCATAATACCAAATCTATGCCTTCCTATGCCATAGTTTCTTGTGTGCCAAACCAGGAATATTGTTGTTCTACTTGTTTTGATTAGGTTCAACGCAGAACAGCAATATTTATAGGCTGGCACTCAAGCGACTAGGCTATATGACGTCATAGACTTGGTATTATGGATTGAAACAGGATAGACGTGGTAGAGGCTAGATCTATTCGGCTGACAATAGTCGTGTTTTATCGTAGGCGTGGTCCATGAAGCAAAGGCTTGGCCATGAGAAGTACTCGGTCTCTTTAGCCTCAAGTCTGTCTCCCATTCAGCTTGAGAATCCTGATTTTTAGGGTCTGCTCAGCGAGGCGGGAATATACGTGTCATCAAAGGTTTGAGACGATGTAGGAAATAACGCTTCAAGTAGTACAGATAGGGTGGCACGGGTTGAGTGAAATACCTGAACCAGGAAGGCAGGGCAAGAGGGAGACTTTGATAAGTCCTATGGGAAGCAGCTTGAGGGGTGAGGGGTGGAGAGTTCTCATAAAATCCGCTAAAAATGGAACGCGATACCACATTTACATAAGAAATTATGATATTGAAGGGGTGATATGAGGATATAGGATTGGTGAGTAGCCCAGGACAGAAAGAGAGATGAGATGTATTCACCCTATTTCGTGTAAGGTGATGAAGGACTGGTAGTAGAATTTTCCCACAATGA